TGTTTATGGATGAGCTAATGATTTATTAACGTAGTAGAATGAAGCAGGGTGAGGCTGAAAGCCGTCGAAGTGAAACGAGGCCGCTGAACGAGCGTGACACACGGCTCGAAAGCAGCGGCGCTTTTATTATGCCACAGTCGACCGCTTCCGCTCCTTCCGGTCGTGTGTATGTGGGGAAAAAAAGCAACGCTGTTTTATCATACTAGATACGTTTGAAAGTTCTGTTATAATGCTACTCTGTGTGGTCGTCACCGGTCTATTAAAGCGCACAACATATTAAAGCGTCTTTGGTGTTTCCATGTTTTCTACAAAACAAAACCGGAAATCGAGGGGTTATGACGTCATTGGCAGGCGACACAATGACACTATGGACACGGTCCGTGTCACTAGTTAAAATTGCTTATTTATCTGGATTTAAACATTCTTTGAAACATTTGGGATAATGTAAGTACACAAGTCAGCAAACTATATAACACTGTTCTAGTGGTTTTTGGTTATTTTAATAAAAAAATCGTACATATTGTAAAACCGACCCACTTAAAGGCGCATACTGCCTCCTACTGCACAACACCGGCATGACAGCTGACGTAAAATAAGGATCGGACTGAGGAGAGCCGATATCGATCAGTTAAAAAATTGCTTGATCGGCCCCTATCCCTGTCATTGAGATCGGCTCGGGACGTCCCTAATATATATATACTGTATATGCTCTCTCTTTCTCTCTCTCTCTCTCTCTCTCTCTCTATATATATATATATATATCAGGGCTGTAGCCATCATTTCAGAAGTGAGGGGGACAGAAATGTTATATAAAAAAAAATATATATATATATAACATTACAATATAACATTTCTGTAATCTATATAACCTACCAGTAAACAGTTTTTGAACAGTAAGATTTTTAATGTTTTATAAAGAAGTCTCTTCTGCTCACGGTGATTGCTAGGCTGTTTTTAGCATGACTAGCATGTTGCTAACATGTTTTTAGCATGATTAACATGTTACTAGCATGGTGCTAGCATGATTAACATGTTTCTAACATGGTTAGCATGTTGCTAGCATATTGTTAGCATAATTAGCAAGTTACTAACATGTTCAGGGCTCTACGCTTACTTTTCTTTTTAGGAGCACTTGTGCTCCTAACTTAAAAAATTTAGGAGCACGTTCAAAATTTTAGGAGCACCTTCTAATCAATAATACAAAATTTTATCAAAAAGTAGCCTTCCCGTTACGAGGTGATATTTGACTCCTCTAACTTTATTAAAAGTATGTCATCTTTTGTCAAATTCTTAAAAAAATTATATTTTATAAGCTTTTTAAAAAATTTAATTAAAACGACAGAATAAGAACAAGTAGAATAAGGAATATAAGTCACCAATCAAATGAAATCAGTATGAACTAAATTAATTTGTAGAGGTGGCACAGAAGAACACAAAAGAGGCTTGGTGTACTTTCAGACATTTAATGAAGCTCAGAACTGGAATGAGTGCAATTAAATCCATAAATTCATGATGATATTAATATTTTAAATAACATTTTGAATATAGAAATATTTAATTATTTAAATAACTGAAAAGATACTTTAAAAATGAAACTAATGCAAATGCCACTGAAATGGTCGCACTGTAGAGCCCTGTATATATATTTATTTATTTATAAATATATATGTTTGTGCAACTCGCATAATATTCAGTCACTCACACTTAATTTAAATGTTTTTTCTTCAACAGTTTCATGATGACAGTAAGTAACTTTATCATATTGTGTGTGATTATATATTTTGATGAGATGCTTATAATAAGTTTTATTATCAGTAAAGAAAAAAAAACACAAAACCCTAAGTTTTAAGTTTTAACACTCTGTAATTCTTACAGCTGCCAGGCACAACTCCAACACATTTCCACTGCACACCAGGAACCCTTCACCAAGACCGCCAGGAACCCACGGACAGTCCTATCAAACAGACAAGTATGTATTCAAATGAGAACACTGACTGTAGGTGGTCAGATTTCATACTATTCAAGAAGCTACTGCCCTGATAGCACACATACATCACGGAGACGACTATTTGACGTCTGCATTTACATCTGCAAGACGTATTTTTTAGAGAGTGTTTGCTGCTCTGCAATACGTCTATACGACGTTTCCTATCAGATGTCAAGTAGACGTTTAGAAAATGTCTTTAAGATGTTTATGATTTCGAATGTATGTAAAACTGACATCTTAAATACATCTATCAGATGTTTGTACACAGCAGATACTTTCCAGATAAAGCGATCTTTAACAGACATCTTGCAGACGCACGTGTGCTATCTGAGTGCAGAATTAATCCAGATATTTAGAAATATTAGTTACTCCATTATATTGAACTATTTTTCGGTCACATTTCACAGTGTTCACCCCAGTCGATCACTACCGGCAAAACTGCAGGAGAGTAAGCACGCATTGCATTAGTTTGATTCATCTTACTATACATTTAATGAAAATAACTAATTAAATCCTTTATTTTGTGGAACGAAAGCAATGAACGATCACCAAAGAAGTGCAAGAGCACCACCACTACAAGCAGACATGGGCAGCAAGCAGGTACAGTAGGTTGAAATGCTCGAGGTGCTGACAAACAATCACGCCACTATACATCAACCAGCAGATGGCACCTTTGTATTGCTTTTCCTTTGAAGTGCTACTGGAGTCTATTTTCTTGTATAGGTTAAAGGAACAGTTCACCCAAAAAATAAAGTTTGTTGAAAATGTACTCACCCTCAGGCCATCCATGATGTAGATGAGTTTGTTTCTTCAGCGAAACAGATCACTTGCTCACCAATGAGTCCTCTGCAGTGAATGGGTGCCGTCAGAATGAGTCCAAACAGCTGATAAAAACATCACAATAATCGACATGATGACTCCAGTCCATCAATTAACGTCTTGTCAAGTGATAAGCTGTGTGTTTGTAAGACACAAATCCATCATTAATGCTTTTTAACTTTAAACTATCTCTTCTGACCAAAATATGAGTCCATAATCTATAATAACGCTTCCTCCGGAGAAAAAGTCCATCTCCTTGTTGTTCTGTCACATCAAAATCATATTTGTTTAAAACTGGTTTGGACTGTTTTCGCTTACAAATGGTGCTTGATATGTGCATATTTCTCTGCTGATTTAGACAAGATGTCTTTTTAACTGGTGACAGCAATATTATGGATATTTTAGCTGGAAGCAATGGTTTGAAGTTAAAAACATCTTAATGATGAATTTGTTTATTACAAACACACAGCTTTGCTCTTCAGTAGACATTAATTGGTGGACTAGAGTCTTGTGGATTACTTGTAGATTATTGTTATGTTTCTATTAGTCTATTTATTAGACTCTCATTTTGACGGCACCCATTCACTGCAGAGGATCCAGTGAGCAAGTGTTCCGATAAGAAATAGCAGCCTGTTCTAAGCCAAATTTTGTTTATATCACTATTATGTCTTTGTAAAATGTTTGGATTTAATAAACCATTATTTTCTCAGATAATTGCAGAGAAAACAGACAAACATTGCTCATTAGTCACTGTCAGCCCTAATACTATTATTTCTCCGTTTATAGGACATGGATCCAGCTTGGTATGTGGGTCAGTTCTCCCGCAGTGAGGCAGAGATCTGCCTGAAAAGAGTTAACAGGGTGAGACCATTGTGTTCAAATGAACTATATGACACTTAAAACTAAGTTTGCGTTCTTACTTTCTTCATAGAAACTTTAGAGAATAAAAATGTCATTCTTGATATCAGGTTAACAAAGTTAATCTGTTGAAATGTGCCCTCTGTCAGGATGGGACGTTCCTTGTGCGAGACAGTTCAAATCGATCTTCTAACCAGCCCTACACACTCGTCGTCCTGTACCAGGATAAAGTTTACAACATTCAGATCCGCAGAAATCAAGATGGCTTCATGCTAGGCACTGGTCTGAAATCCTATGAGGTATTAAAACTGTTGATTTTTTATGTCTGTAATCATAGCTACATGCATAATGACCAAAGTTTGTAACACTGTTGATTGTTTTTGGCAGACTTTCGAGCGGGTCAGCGACATTATCAGCCAGCACAAACACAAGCCACTCCTTCTTATTGATGCTAAGAACCGAGAATCAAGCCAACAGAACCAGTGTACTCTGATTTATCCAGCTAGATATTAAACCTTTATTCTACACGAGACTAATTTACAGTAACTAGTTTTGGTTGTTACATTTCATTTAGTTTTGTTTTTTTCCCAACTCAAATCAACACACCATTCATAACTGTCAAAATCTCTCAGGTCTGTAAAAATATTACTTTGGTAGTCTGTACAACATTATAACGTTTTTGAATGCATATAGCTGCACATTCCATAGTACTGAATACATATTAAATGTTCATATTAAAAACAAAATGATAAACCAATACTTTATCAATATTAAGACCATTTTCGTTATTTCTCAAACTAATCTCTTTGTCTCTTTTATTTGAATTGTTCCACGATTTAAAGTGTTTATTTGTTGTTATATTTGTGTGATCATGAAATTTGAATTGTATATTGACATAGCAATAAAGATTATATCATTCTACAAGGGACGTTATACGTGGTGTGAGGGACAGATTGAGGATTACATCATGCTCAGGGTCGGTGTAGTGCCGAAATTTGCACCCTACCAGATTATGCACCCCCTGGTATTGGTAGGTTTAGGAGTAGGTGTGGGGGAGGGGTTAGGATTAGGCAATCAGGTAGCGACGTTTAGGAGTAGGTGTGGGGGAGGGTTTAGGATTAGGCAATCAGGTAGCGACGTTTAGGAGTAGGTGTGGGGGAGGGTTTA